AAGAAAAGATTTCATAACAAAAAAAATTATATCTGAAACAAAGCAAAAGAAGTTAAGATGAAGCTGAAAATTTTATTTTTCAGTTTTATCATGCTGAATGTAACTATAATATGTCATCGAAACATTTTTTTATGTTAGCTGATAAATATAGTTAACTTCTGTGAGCTCTTTTAAGACGGCAAAAATGTAAAATCCAAAATTTGTGAATCCCATTAAATTAAAAAGACCATAAAGTTTTTCAAACCAATACCATAGATTGTAAAAAATTCATAACTTTAAAGTGTTAATAATAACACAATTTGTAATATGTATTTACAGGAATTTTATTCATGTGTTTAAAAGAATGTTTTTGGTATGTAATCTTACAACTTAAATATATATACTTGCACCCTGTTTATTTACAAATTACTTTATAAATGTCTTTTTATTGAAGTACACTCAAACCTGTTTTTGTGTGGTGGATAGGGATTGCATAAAACTTCATGAGTAGCTATAAAAAAAATAAAGTCGTTTTAGAGTTGACTTTTTCAATTACCATATAGTCGGTGATCAATCGACGACTGTTCTTTCACTAGATGCATGTATGTGACTTGGTAGCCAAATATACAAGATTGAAACTCTCTCTCTCTCTCTCTCTCTTTTTTTTTTTTTTTTTTTTTTTTTCAAATTGATTATTTGTTTTATTTATTTTATTTATTTATTTATTTATTTTTTTTTTTATTGATAACTTTGTCAGTTATGTTCCAATTTGATTGCAATTTTCACATACTGCTCAAAAAAAGATTACACAAAAACAGGTTTGAGTGTACTTTATGAAAGGAAACTATCTTTTATTTTATTTCATGAAACTGTTAGCACCCAGACCAGAGATTCCCAATCCTTTTTTTGCATTGATCCCTTTCAACAGAATGGTGACAGAATTCTTTGTTGACCTTGTTATGTTTTTCTCGGTACAACATAATCTTAATACAAATAATTACAAATAAATAACTGAAAGAAAACAATTAGAATATGAACTGAAATTTTGAAAAAATGTAGATTTATTTTAAATTTTACAAATATAAACAAGCTTTCAGAAGTAAAATCACAAATTCTAATAGGAAAAGTTCAATTTAATTAACATGATGGCTGCATTTGATATATTCATGCAATTTTTTTAATTTGCCATACAACTGCTTAATTCTTTAAACACTATCTAAAAATATTCAACCTGTATCTTGTTTTCTGTAGTAAATTATTAACTGTCAATAATGTTGGTTCAATTTATTTTAAGATATTTCTCATGGACAACCTTTTTAATTCAAGAAGTTAGTTCACCCTTGTGTTTTGAATAAGACTTGGATTTGAACATTCCTCCTTTAATACAATCAACTCTTCTTGTGTCATAATATTAACGTCAGAAATATTGCAGTTCGGTGGTTTTAGAAGCCATTCTGGCACATTCAAATTTTTGATGACCTGGACACAAATATTAAAATCTTTTAAAATTTGCAAGTGGATGGTACAAAATATATCTCCTGGAAAAATACAACTTTTTCAAATAACAGATAAACATTATATCACAATTCAATAATTTTGTACTTTTCGAAATTTTTTGGTGCGTTTTCTTGTGTTCCTGTGTTTTATATTTTTTCTATTGCACTTATTGCAGAAAAAGTATACTTAAAAAAATATTTTTTTTAAACTATTTTAAAAATTATATATGTATGTATAAATTATATAAGTACTATATATAAAAAATATTAACAATTTTTAAAATATATTAAATTCAGCATATTTTCCCCTTATATTTTGATTTCTAACTACATGATTTAGCTTTATATCAATACACAAATAAATTTTATTATACTTTTTTTTTTTTTTTTTTTTTTTTTTTTTTTTTTTTTTTTTTTTTTGGTAATCATTGGGATCTTGATTATACTGATCAACTGCCACTGCTGTTGACACCCTTTAAAATTTCAACTATCCCTAGGGAATTAATACTGACTCCAGTGGTAACCTCTGATCGAGACCGTTCAGTTGTCAGAAATAAAACTACCAATAATCTGCTGCCAGTTTTAGTTACTTGCCAACTGGATGGACTAATATGACAAAAAATATATTCTCTCTTGATCTTTATTCAAACAAATCTGATACTTTTATGTTATTTTTGTGTGATTTTTTTTCTACAACAAATAAAGATCAAAAGTTTTTATAGACTTGCAACAACCTTTGTTCTATCACAGGGGTTCCGATGTGTTTTCAATACGCAGTGCATGTACAGTTTTATTATTTTTTCGTGGTGCATTGGTTGCACTTTCTCTACTAGAATGTTTATCAGACATAGAAATGAAAATGGCATTTTACTGGAAAAAAAAGTATAATTTTAATTGATATGAAAGCATGCAAATCAAATATAAATAAAAAAACTTTCAGTGGCAAAATAGAAAGTCAATGTGACAGGTGAGCTTGTTGATCCCCCACACAGTTTTTCAAATTGTGGATGATGTTTTAATACAGCTTGCCCCACTTTGATTTTCAAACAATATTTGCTCTTTATTAGAGAGAAAGCTGAAAAATCTAGCTTCATGTAATGTCACAGAGGGAATGAGGATCCTAAAAACTTAGTCGGATAACTAAGTTTTGATTGAAATCCAAAACTTCATTAAATCTTAGCAAGCATATTTTGTTTTCAAGTTGTAGTCGCAAGATAGTTCAATTAAACTCTATTCACCTGTTAAAGTGATGGCAGCTTGAGAATAAAAAGAATCTTAGATCAACATGAATTTCTGTACATTGTGTTCTGCAAAATATTTTGTGAACCAGTCAGTGAGCTTTGAAATGTTTTGCATGAAAAGAACCTTAGAAAAGTTTTCCTGCATCTTTTCCCACCATAATATTAACCATGTCGACAGCAACCAGTAGAATAGGCTCTTCTGCAGTAGTGTACTGTTTTTAGCACTTTGACACACTGTAAGCTACCTTGAAAGACGTAGTGGTGCATTACTCAGAACTGACACATTTTTAGTGAACACACTGCTTTGCTTTTGCAGATCTTAAAACCTCCTATTAAAACATCAAGAGATTTGTTGACCAAGTTTGGGTAAATGGTCTGGAGATGTCACTTTACCTTGCTTGGGATCATACTTTCGAGTACAAGGATTTTTTAAACAGACAACACATCTAACATTCTTCTTTACTTCTCCTGAAGTAAAACCAAAATTAGAGTAACTTTCCTTGTAGATTTGATATTTTTGCTTCTCATCTCCTCCACTAGTTGTTGATGCTTTGCCACTCGAGCTTGAACATCATTGATTTATTGCAATATTTTGTCAAGATCATGACTGTTATTTCATACACTTATAAGATGCTATGATCCCATCCATTCATGAGTTTGATACTGATGTCGCAAAAGGAAAAAAGAAACGCCTACTGATGCCAATGCTGAGAAGACAAATATAGCACTCTTACAATGAGAAATAGCAGGTACAAAAAATGTATGAGAATAACCAAGCACAAATCTGACACAACAACATAATATAAATAAAATAATTACAGATTGAAAGAACTAAGTGATAGAATAAAATGGTGCTTTAAAAAAACGAAATTGAGAACAAGAATTACTTTAGACTAAAAGGAGAAATAGAGTTATTCAAAATATAGTTTAAATGGAATTAAATGAGAAAAACTTAAGGAACTTATTATTTTAAGAAATAAAAATTAATGAAAGTATAATTAATTTTAAAAAAATGGTCAAGCGTTTAATGCAATTCTTTTTTCTCTCTGAAACGAGACCACAAGTGCCTCGCAGCTTATGTGCGATAGATCCCCATACCATAATTCCTCTTCTGCCATGTTTAATACTTGGTACTAAGTTTTGCTTCCGAAATTCCTCTGTGGGTTTTCTCCATACCAACACTCGTCCATCTGAGATAAAAGATGTTAAATTTGCTTTCCTCAGCAAACAGCAGTTTTTCCCAGTAGTCGGGTGCCCTCTGTTTTATCAATTTTGCAAAAGCGAGTCAAATTCCATGAGATAACTTAGATGGTCTTCCAGATCTTTTGTTTTGAATACGACTCTGTTTCTTATAATGCTCAATGATATCAAAAACTATAGAATCACTTAAATTAAGTAAGTAGGCAATTTTTCTCATAGATTTCCTTTTCTTTTGACACAAATCAACAACTAATCTGTGGGTTTCTAATGATGTTTCCTTTCGTGATCGAGACATTGCAAGAAAACATTAAAATAAGGAATATTTTCTAAAAAGAAAATTTGAATTAGAAAAGCAAGCGATTTTTAGATTGTTGCCTAGCTTCTTTATATAAACTAATTCCATAAAATTTCTTTTTTTTTATTTATTGCAGACTATTTTACTTGGAAATTATAAAAAGCCGATTAATTTTGTGGCATCTCTCCTCTTAAATTTAAAAAATAGCGGAAAACGCTATTTTTTAAATTTACTATTTCATTTTTAAAAATTTATTTAGTACAAAGAGAGAGAGAGCTAAGGAAATATGTATTCAAGGGAAAATATTCTTTATTATTTTATTGCAAAGTTTTTCTCCTATTACTTAAAAAAGTTAAAATATTGTTGTGCCGGATGACTTTTTGCGAGCCACTGTATGTTATTCAAAATTTGATGTCCCTAGGTACCCTTGCTTTTTCACAGTTCAAGAAACATTCATACATTCATGCAGATTCTTCATTATTTAATTTCTTTAAATATAATGCAGTGCTCTAATATTTGGTTGCAACAATTTGAAAAGTGAACAGACACAAAATGCCAAAACGAAATTAATAGCCCTTCTGGGCAAATTGCCCCTTTGGACTAAAAATAACTAGCTGTAAAACTAATGTAAATGCGAATTCTCAGCATTTAATTTTACACCAAAAGACATATATTTAATGCTCAAAATTAATGCTGATTTTTTTATAATAAATCAAGCTTTCAATTATTTTGAAATTTTGTTTCACACTAATCACAATTCAGGTGTAATAAAAGAATTACATATTTCAGGATCCAGAAAGAAAGAACACTGTACCACCAGTAGATGTCCTTTGGGTGAAAGGAAGAGAAGGTGGAAATTATTTTTATTCATTTGGAGGTTGTCACCGATATGAAGCACATAAGAGACTTGGACTTCCAACTATTCGCAGTAAACTTATAAAATCCACCATAGATGATTTAAGAACTTATCTTGGTGGTTCAACACCAGATTTAAAATAAGTATGAACAAAAAGATAAAAATTTGTCATTTGTGTTATCCATGCATAAGAAATTTAAGTTCAGTATATATTATTTCATAAAATAGTTTCTAAAACAGAACTTTTCTTTTAACAGTTTTTATTGAATGCTTTTTATATATTAAATATGATAATTTGTATAATCATATTAGACAACAAAGAGGTTAATATATGAAAAGTGTTCAGTACCTTATATGAAAAGCGTTCAGTACAAACTGAACACTTTTCATATATTTATGTGCCACAGAAATATGTAGTTTCAATTCTATTCTAATAACTGATAGTCTAATAGCATGCTAAACTTAAAATTTTTAACATAGCTTTCATATATAATTTTTAATAACTCTAACTTAATAACAAAGTTATCTAGTTAACTGTATGCTATTTTAGAATTATACTATAAAAATATTTTATAGTGTAATATAGAAAGTTTTCTGAGCTTAAAATGAATTAAAACGAATTAAAAATAATTTTGCTATTATATGAAAGTCTACAACAAGGGTTCTCAACAGGGGGGGGGGTGGCGATAGTTTTAGGAAGAAATGCAGTCAGTCTTTATCTTATCTTTTAAATATTTGGTTTTAATTTATGACTATAACTAACTAGGTACTTTTGTTCATGTTTTGGTATTTATTAACCTTTTCTACACTCTTTGTTGTTTAATTTATGAAACACATTAAAAAAATCTTCAGAATCTAGATAAATATATATATATTTATTTTCAAGTTTTGGAAAGTAGGGGAGAAATAATCTTCTAGCAATGATTCACCATTGCCAGGAGTGCATAAGGCAAGAAAGGTGAGAACCCTTGGGCTAGAGCAATATCAGTTCTATTATTAATAAATTACCATATGAAGTTTTAAAGTAAGTCTTGAAATATTTACATAGGATGTTAAAAACATGTCTGAAAATTTTTTTATGCTTTAATACTGATTCTTGGTTTGTACCTCAGTAGCAAAGTTTTGTAAAATAAGGTTAAAAAAATTTATAAAAACAGTTTCACTATTGTGTAGGAAGTTTTATACATGGAAAATACTAAACCATTTTTTTTATTTGTTCTTTATGAAAGAAAAATCATGTAAGGTATTTATTATGTTAGTTGTATTACTTTTAATAAGTAAACTAAAGAGAATTTCTATGGCTTTGTGTGCAAAATTTGCAAAGATCTATGTAACTAATATTTTCATGAGACCAATTATAAATTTAAAAGAAAGTTCTGATCACCTAATAAAGAGCAATTAACTGCCAAAGGAAAGAATTTGTTTTATAGTTGCTTCCTAAATTAGGCGACAAATACTGAATTTTATCCTCCAAAAATATAACATTCTTCTTATAGTTCATAAATAGTGTATGTAAAGTTATTGTACATACTGTATTAATTGCATCGGTGCATAATAAATATTTTACCGATATTTTGGCTATGTTAAGACCATATTAAAAATTTTATATTGATAGGGCACTTTCTCATTACAATTTTGAAACTTTATATATATATATATATATATATATAAATTTCTCTATGTTGCAAAATTTTTCAATTGGAAATACATATTTAAGGTAAATATTTAATGAATAAAGAGTTTAAATAGAACTATCTTTTTTAACCACAGTGCAGATGTCTGCATTTATGAAATCAAATGTGTAATGCATTACTATTCTTGTATTTCTTAATCTATTTCCCTAAAATACTTCAAATTTTAGTTAAAATTACTAAAGTGTTACTCTCTTTATTTTAGAGATTCTGTACATTCAACACTCCAGGTTAGTTCTGGATCAACCGGATACAAATGATGTCCAAGCTGAAAATAGGAGAAAATTGTGAAATATAAATCAGAACAAACAATATTTACTTCTATTTTTGAAATTTATGCTACTTCATTTAATTAATTCATTCAGATTAAACAGTTTCTTAAAAATAGATTTAAAAAGATATATGAAGAATTTTGCTGATTATCGTGAATTTATTATACATTAAATATCTTAATGTGAAAATTCATGGTGGCTAAAATATACAAAGGTTGCTATTTATATTTCTGGCTGCAACAATAAGTGTCGCTATGCAGCCACAGACTATTCCATTCGAAAGTTTGATATTTTTAACAATAATTTCTTCAAAATGTTTTGCCAATTTAGCATAATTTGTGTTGTTTACAATAAACTCAAAAATTCACCGCAAGGAAAAAAATGGAATTGATTCGTGAACACTTTTGTGCAATTATTTTCTACAACTTTTGACATGTGTTATCAAGACAAGAGTGCTTCACTGAATTTAATTCTTTATACAGCAATAAAGCACCATCCTACACCCTGTAAAAACTAGTATAACGAGTTCAGTCATGGTCAACGTTTGCATCAAGACGAATTTCATGAAGATCGCCCAAAAAATCAGTTGTTGTGCCAGAAAATATTGATGCTGGCACGAACTGACAAAGATTGTCATGTGACATACTGTGAGATTGAGGCATCTTTGGACATTAGTGTGACAAGAATCAATAAGCTATTACATGAACATTTGGCCGTAAAAAAAGATTTGTTCGCGTTGGATCCCATATAATCTGACAAACACTCGAAACAAGGTTCGTGTCAATTGGTGCTAGGAAAGGTTGAAAAAATATGTTCAAGGTGCATCAAAGGCTGTGTATAACATCACACAGATGACGAATTGTGAATATATGCATATGATCCCAAAACAAAACGGCAGTCAACTGTATGGGTCTTCTAAGACAAGCCAAAGTTGTTTGCGGAAGAAGCTCATTGAAACAAATGGCTGCCTGTTTCTTCAGCGTTACTGGTCAAGTGGCGGTACAGCAACACTGGATAGTTAATTCAAATGGTACATGACCATTTGTTTGCCATTTGATCTGAGAAATTTGAAAAAATCAGAAGAGGTGAATCATTCTTCATCATAACAATGCAAGCTCTCGCACATCGGCTCAAACAAAGAAATTTTTGATGGGCTAAAACATCAAATTGATGGGTCGTCCATCATACAGCCCTGATCTGGCACCCAATGGCTTTTTAATTCCCGTACATCAAAAATAAATTACGTGATCAGCGATTTGTGACACCTCAGGAAGCAGTTGATGCATTCAAAACGCATGTTTTGGAGTGGAAGAAGTGCTTCGAAAATTGGATCTAAACGTATGCAAAAGTGTATTGATCTTCAGGTAGAATGTTTTGAAAAGTAATAAAACCAATTTCAATCATAAACATTTGTTTTTTCATTATTAGGCCAGAAATATAAATAACAACTCTCATAACATCATATAAATAAATTACCTAAATTGTATATATAGATTTAAATAATTTTTAATTTAACTCAGAAGTATATTAAAATTCACCATGTACTCACCATGCTTGTTCTTGGTGGAACCTCAAAGTAACAATCAAGACTATTCTGATGACTCTGACAATTTTGACTTTTGTTACAGTCTAATCTCACTGTGACTTTACTGTGTGACTACATGAAAATAAATTCCTCTATATTTTTGGTTAAAAATAGGGGGACAGAGAGAAAGAAAGAGTATAAAAATCTGCAATTTTATATGTGTAATATAAATTTAAAATTAGTTTTAAATATAGAAAAGCTATAATCAAACCTAAAAATTTGTCCTCTGTATTTTTGGTTAAAAATAAAGCTGTATATTAAAAAATGGGGGGGGGCAGAGAGAAAGAGGGGAAAAATCTGCAATTTCATATGTATAAATTTAAAATTAGTTTTAAATATAGAAAAACTATAATCAAGCCTAAAAACTTGTTCCAGGTAGAAAGTTTTAAAAATAATATACAGCTTCAAGTATTGGTACTTCATTCTTTTTTTCTGCATGAAAAGAAGGCAAAAGCATGGAGTTATTAATCTTTCATATAAATTATAACTCAGATGTCTGGTAACAAGAGAGCAGTTAATGATAGCTTAATAAAACCTCACTAAAGTTAAATTCAGTAGCTGTCTATTTTATACAAGATAAAAGAATCTTTAGCTGCAATTTTTCAGTAATGGTTTATCACATTTGCAATCTAATCTATTTGCATTTTTTAAAAATAATGTTGCACTTTTTTTCCCCCCAAAATGGCAATATACACAGTACTGAATATAATACATTTATTTCTTCAGATGAATGAGCTTCTTTCTGAATATCAGTAAACTGCAGTAGTTAATGATTGACAGAGTATGAAAGATTTTAATTATTATATCACCAGAAACTGCATGAACCACTATTATTACAAAATTTGCACAGTGAGAGTAAAAATGGAATAAAATCATAAACGCAGTGAGTTTTCTTATGCTTGTTCACAATCCAAATCGTAAATTATTTATGTTTGCATAGGAATACAATCTAATTTAAATAATATTGATATTCAAATTAGATAATGGATTAAATTTAGGAGATAAAAGCCAACTTCTTCCAGTACTAATTTGATAGCTTAAAAAATTAAAATAAAGGACTAGGCAAGTGAAAGAAGCAGCATTGTGATGGGGAAAATAATAGTCTTTGGGAATTTTTTTATATTCTTATTTTGTATTGCATTCATTTTTGTCTGTCTGTTCACAGAATTCAGCTTTGGTTGAGTTCATTTTTGTTCCCAGTTCCTGAATTTTAAAAAAAAGTACACATTGGTATATTTTACTATTTTTAGACAACATAATGCTGAACTTGGAAAAGAATGCATGATGTATGTAATGTATAATAAAATTTAAAACCATAAAATACTTTATGCACTGTGTTAAAAAAATTTTCACCTTTTCTTTTTCCTCCCTTCTGTGTTGCCTTTTTAGAAAAAGACAGTTTTTAATACAGTGGATTTCATCACTTATTGTTCAAATGAAGTTAAAAAAATTTAAGAAGTCTGACTTTTTGAAAGCTAAAATTCTACAAACTGCTGATAAGTCACAGCATCAGATGAAATACTTTATAGTATATAAAATTGTCAAGACTCCAGTGAAATCATGGCTGCAAAAATTATCAGGAATAGCTATAAAAAACTGCAGCCAGTTAGTATCAGTATCGGTTTCACCATGTTCAGATAATGAAGGTGTATTGTGAATACGGCAAAGCACACTAGGGCTATCTGCCTAAGGGGAGGCATGCCTTCGTGGAGGACTTCAGATAATGAAAGTTATAGTATTTACTCACATCAAGATATTCAGGATGTACTCAAAAGAAGGGGAGGAGTGAGAAGAAACAAGGATGTGATGACAAGCATATGGTCAACAAACTGAGTTTGAGTTAAACGAGTTATTCATTTAATTGTCAACTTGATTCAAAAACAATAGAATATAGCAATAATTTTTACAGGAAAATGCAAATTCTAAATTTTTGAACAGTTTTATTCAAACCCATTTTAGATGGCAAAATAGAGTACAGAGTCCAAAATCTGGATGTCTAGTGTCCGGAATGATCAAATATCTGGATAGCTGGCTGTTATGGAAGCTCTCAAAAATGTTAGGTGAATTTAAAATATCCAAAGAACCCATGGCCAACATGTCAACAGTACCTTCTGTTTCTCTGAAATCATTGTAAGAGGGACTTTATTTAAAATGGGTATTAATGTTGTCAACATTTTTCAGTTTATCAGAATTTTTTAGGTATGAACTTTTTGTATCTATAAAGCTCCAAATAGAATGATAATATATATTAATGCAGCACACCTGCGTACATATTTTTTCATAATAAAGTACGTGCAGGGGCCTAATTCTTAATTCGACTTTAGCACTATATAAAACTCCTCCATGAAGAAATGCAATCATTTATTACAATAATGAATGCCTTAATATGATCAATAATTTGACTTCGTAGCTGCCTTTTTTGTTTGACATGATTGAAACCAACCAAACTTCATAATTGATTTTAGTATAATACTTCTAACTTATATCCCTGATGCCAATCTGGCAAATAATGTTATTATTAGTTTTTGCATTCATCACCATGACTATCAACTCACAGAAGCTTGAGAAATAACTCATGCAGTAATGTGTAAAACGTTAAAAAAAATTATTAGTAATTTAATACCAAACAGCGAAATTTCTATATGCAAAAAATAGATTTTGTAAATGATATTTATAAGCCAAAAAGGTTACATTCAGTATTATCTAAATTAAGAATAAATGATTTGTTGTTTAGATAAGCCTTAAGTATAAGTGGGAAATAAGACAAAAGTACAATAATACAAAAAAGTATATACTAAACTAATATAATTAACGTCCTCACTGCACAATAGAAGCACGACAAAATTTAGCAAAATAACATCTTGTCAGTTGCTAATCTCATGATACAGTGCCAATGTACAGTGGGGTCAGCTATTACCATAAAGGTGGCAATACCATAAGCTGTATAATGCCATGAATATGAAAGTTTTTGGATAGAGAAAAAAATTCCAATTAATGGAATATGTGAAGAAATGAGCAGATGTGATAAAAAATGATAATGAACATTTTTGCCACTTTTGTAGAAGTTTTTTATTGCAATGATAATGCTCCAATCATCAATCAACTAACAGATGGTGAAACCTTAGAATCCAGAAGAGATCGTTACCGATAGTGAAAAAAGTGACAGAAAGGTTGCTGAGGTCAAAAAAATGTTTATTAAGAATTTAGTGGGAAATTTTTGACATGGCAACTACAGGACTTGAACAAGAAGTTATGTTTATCTGAAATTAAAAAGAAAGTATTAACTCACACCAAAAAAAAATTAAACAACTTATATTGAAAGTTGATGTTTAATACAGCAAAAAATTAATATTGAGTTTCTTTTGTAAATTTTTATTCCCTTAATGTCATAATGCTTTGTTATTCCATAAACAATTTTCTTATTTCATATTTTTAATTTTACAATTTCTACATGTCAACTAACCAGATTTAAACTGATAATCTGAAATCGCCAAAGTCCTGACGAGTCTGGATCTCAGACTTTCTACTTACTGCATATATCATTGCTTTAAAACCTCAGGAAACCATTTTCATACAATATACTGACCGATTTTCAGATTTTCGATATTTTATGATTATCCATGCATATTCTTGCATTTGCGTAGATGATCAAGAATTCAATATATATCTATATCCTCAGTCACTTCTAATACTTTATAACTTCTTTCTGCTATCATACAAAGAACATAAAATGATTCCAAAATAAATTTGAAAGTTCTGGCAGCTACCCAGAAGAAAGCTTAAAGGCACTGTACAATTTAAATGGTAGAAATTGCTTATTAATGTTTCTAGCATTATTTTCTAGATTTTGTTCCATTTAGCTTAATAAGTCTGCTTAGTTGATCTGGCTGAAGTACTTTTTATTTTAATGTTGAAAATAGTATTTCCAATATTTCAGACATAATATAAAAGAAGAATACATATGATTACTATAAGCCTAATGATAACTTGACATATAAATACTATACTTAATCAAAGATGACTTTTAAGATTACTTACTGAAAACAAAGAAATATGTTGATGAAAAGTCATGATCAGGCAGTTTTTTTATCCTCAAAAAAGACTAACTGCAGATGTAAATATTTTGCTACAAGAGAACTTTTAAGAATTCTCCAGTTGAAAAAATTATTTACTCTATAAATTCGCATTCTAATCTCCCTATTCAAGTAATTTTTTAAGCAATTATTATGCGAGATATAGGTGTGAATGGTTAACTGTATTCTTTTCTGAATATATGTTTTCTTATATGATTAAAACTGGTACTTCTAATTGATTTCAGTTTGACAACAAAATAGTATTAATAGATAATTTACGAACACAGTATTACAAATATTATAATCATACAGTACATATTACAAATAATTTAAACATGAAAGATATCTAATGTAATAAATTGTGATAGAATTCATGAAATAAAACATCTGAATTAGCTCAAGATATAATGCATGTAAAAATAAATGTTAATGATATATATCCGAAAAGAATTTTAATTGATAAAATATTCTATGACTCAGTTGTTATTTAATATAATTATAAAATTATACCAACCTGGTTTTGAATAACTATTGTGACTCTGTGCTGTAGCTTGTGAGTGTATAGTAATAAATCATTCATCTTTTTCACTTTATGAGAATTGCCTTGCTCAACTGCCATTTTCCGCAAAACTTTCTCAGCAATGTTACAGTAGGAGGTCACACATAATGGTCTCAAAACAAATTTTGTTGTTTTAGATTTAGCTACTAACACAAATGGCTGAGCCTGGAAAAAAAAGGAGGTTTAGAGAGGAAGTAAATGCTTCAAAATTTTAATATAAGGAAATAAATTTTTACCACATACATTTTAACCTTTTCTCTAATACCTTGAAATCCTATAGTATAGACATGTTTTGATGCTTTGTGACACATACAGTCTGAATTAGTCCTGTTATATCAAAGTTTTTAGTATGATGTACAAATAATGCTGTTTTTAATGACAAGTGTAAAAGAGTATATTTAATTGATTTTTATTACAGAGAATACTTATTATGATGATCCAATTTCATGAGGGTACTATAAATCCATTTTCATTACAAAGACCACTCATTATCATGTATTTTTTCTGTGGGGTTTTGATAAGTCATTATTATAAACGTTTTAAACTGTTTAAAATTAATGTTTAAATCCTGCTGTAATTACTTGATCTGACCAACAAAAAGTTTCTTAAATACATTTCAGCTTCTCATAGATTTTTCCACAAATTATTATTCTTATTGTAAAACCTTTAAATTAAGTAAATTTCAGAAATATCCGATCTACATAAGCTGGTTCCCCCCCCCATATAAAAAAATTCATTTTCTTGAAAATTTGTTTTTTAACTGCAGCCATATTTTTGAAAGTATTAATTATTTGCTAATTTACAGTTTTGTTTTCATGCAAAATGGTGGTTTTAAAGAAGAATTGGATAAGACTATGTTTGTGTTCTTTCTGAAGAAAATTATTCCTATCAGTTATTAAAAACACACCGTGAAAGCCATGGTTTTTCGATATCTAAAGCTATGATAGTTAATATTGTCAACAAGAAAAGGAAAACATCGAAGTTTGGCTTCTTAATTTATAGGCTTATGCTAACTGAGAATAATTTATAGTTTTGTTTGCATTTTTCTTCTTAACTACACAAAAAATAAGTTATAAAAAACTCAGTTTAAAAAAGTATTATATTACTTAAACGAAAATCTTCAACTTCTGAAAGTCACAAAATTGAGAGTATACTTCTTAAATGACTGTGTAAAACTACCAGTAAAATTTTAAAACAACCTTGTAGCTAAGATTTTATACAAAAATACAACCTTTTAGTATCCAAATATTTACAAATTTGAAGCTTACTACCTTTCTGTGTGACAAATATTATGGAGAATAGGAAAGAAACGACGATTGAGGAAAGAAAACTGGACATTAATCTGTCTAATCAATGCAAATCTTTGAGAAAAATAGGAGAAATACTTGGATGAAGTGTAAATTGTATTAGAAAAATCATTCAAAAATTTAGAAAGGATGGTATGCTGGAAACCAAGCAGAGAGAGGCAGGAAGAAATTCTCAGTTCAGCAGCAGAGAGGAGAATTGTACACAAAGTAAGGATTGATCCTATAATAAGCGCTCCAAAAATTGCTGCAAGTACTTCGGAAACTGTGGGTAAATCTGTTTCTGCAGAAACAGTGCACAGAATCCTCAGAAGGGCTGGTTATAATGGCAGAAAAGCTTCAAAAAGCTCTTCATTGTAAAACAAATAGAGCTAAGAGATTAAAATTTGCTAAAGAGCAACATTCTAAAGCCTAAAGAGTTCTGGAATGAATGTTTTTTTCAGCGATGAGAGTAAATTTAATGTTTTTGGCAGTGACGGTCATCGTGTGGTGTGGTGCAAGAAAAATTCAGCTTTAGATCCAAGAAACACAATTCCAACTGTGAGGCATGGAGGTGGGTCAGTAATGGTTTGGGGCTGTATGGCATCATTCGGGAAGTTGGAAAGCTAGTGTTTATTGATGGAATAATGGATAAAACAGGTTATCTTAATATATTGAAAAATAATTTGAAGGACAAGTGCTACTCAATTGGGACTAGGCTCAAAATTCACATTTCAACAGGATAATGATACAAAGCATACAGCAAATACTGTCAAAGAATGGCTGCTGTATCACTGCCGAAATCAGCTGAACACCCCCTCAACCTCCTGATTTGAACGTGATCGAAAATTTGTGGTCCCACCTTGAAAAAGAGGTCCGAAAACATCAGATCACAAGTAAAGAACATTTGAAGCATGTACTAAAAGTGAATTGGGAAACATTTCACCCGAAATTACGAAAAATCTTGTCGATTAGATGTCCCGGCGGCTGGAAGCTGTCATCAAAGCCAGTGGGTATGCTACAAAATAGAAATGTGTTGTTTTTTTATAATTTATGTTATAAAACAATTACATGTACCCTCAATTTTGTGAGCTCAGATTTTTGACGATTTCTGTTGTACATTTTGTTTCTGTATTTCATGCATTTTTTTATATCTATTTATGAATAAATATTAAGATTAGGTATCTTTCTACATCCTCGTCTAAAAGTTTTGGTAACTGTCTATATCTGACAGTTTGTGTTCATTCTAAACATGAATTCTGTTGTAGAATGGAGTGTACCCTCAATTTTGGGACTCACTGTATATCCAAGGAAAAAATTGGAATGTTTTGAATTTTGCAAAGGTAAGGCCTTTAATGTTAAACCAAAGTCCACCAAGGCAAAGGACAGTAGCAAAATAATTTAAGTGCTCACTGTCAAGTGAAACAAAGTGATTAATGCTGATTCGAATCTTAAAAAGGCCAAAAAAATTGTGCATCACCTTTCTCTATGACATATCACAGAATGCACTTCAGAGTTCTTTATGAGAAACACTTATCCAGACCAAAATGGAAAAATTGTTGTCATAATAGATGAATATTGGGTGTATTAATTAACTGTAATAAAAAGAGATCCATTATTATCATCAAAGAGGGGGGGGTAAATCTTAAAACATGGTTCAAAGAATATAAAGAAAGTGTTTCAAAGGGATTTATGATTGTTGCTGGTTTTTCATATAACGACCAGGAACATATCTGATAGCCAGTTTTCAAATATGAAATACCTTCTTTTTAGCCATAGTGTCATCAATCAGTAAAACTGCATCATAACAAAGCAAGCAGCTACATGTCAAAATCCACTCTTCATTTCCTGGAAAAAATGGAACAAGAAACAGGTATCAAGGCCATACCATTCACTGATATCCTTGCTAAATATTCTGATGTACCACCCATGAATTTTTGCGATTTTTGACTTTTAAAAAGCGAATTGTTCAAACTTCAACCTAGACTTTAGAAAACTCTTCAAGAGGAATGGGATAAAATACCTCTCCCAACACTACAAAAGCTGTACTGTTTTTAAATTACGATGTAGAAAGATAGTGGTTATCAAACAGACCATTTAAAACACAAAAATTTTAAGTAAACTATTTCTGTAAATACAAGGAAAATAATCTAAAAAATGTGCGAACAGCCTCTGTATGATGACACAATCCATTTACTGTCAATTTTGTAGTTTGACACACTTGAGGAGCTAAACAGTTTATAGTTTTTGAGTATGTTTACAACTTGAATATAATCATTACATTTAAAAATTTTACTAATATTCACTTTTATTGATGATGGGATGGTTAATCAACTGAGGTGTTAACATTTCAGCTGTTGGACAAATGTTCATTTCTTAGTCTTGGTGACCAAACAAAAGAAATACCCCCCCCCCGAAAAAAAAAACCACTGTGATAGTTACCCACGTGACAAAATATACACACATTGGGCTTTGGCAGAATTTAATGCCTGCATATGTGTGCTTGCATAATATAACTGTATTATTATATTTAAAGCTTGAATAAGTCTGACAAGGGGAGGTGAAATGGATACTAACAACACCGCTTGTCCTAATTCTACAGAATAATAAAGAGTGTAAATTGCATATAAATGTGCATCATTTACAGAAAATAATTTTTATTACATTATAAATTATTTAACAGTTCCAGAAAATTTTGTACAGTCAAAAGTCTTTAATCCAGACGTCCATAATCCGGAATGATCTATAATCCGGACATCAAAGCTACAAACTTTCTACGCATGCGCTAATGCATGCGCACAATACCTTTACGCATGTGCATATGCATCTACACACGCGCATAATACATTTACGCATGCGCATTTAATGTGTAACGAACGTTATAAGCTAAGCTAAAATTATCTAATTATCTATTTCAGTTAATGTTGCAGATTGCATTGTTCCTTAATCTTCTAATTGTATCTGGCTTAGTATTTTTTGCAGACTGTTAGAGCAATTTTATAAAAGTAAGCTTGAACTTTTGATTATGTCAAAAAGAATTTCCGATTCTGGAGCTACCAAAGGATCTACAAAGCGAAAGCATGTTTCGATGTCCATCAAACAAAAAGCGGAATTGCTGCAAAAAATGGATAAAAGGCATATCCTTTGATTCTCTAATCATTCCGAAATCTGATTATCAATTTCACGCTGCTCTGCGGGGAGAGGGGACGACACGGCGCGCAATGAACTGGAAGTTGATTTGTCAGCACTATCCTAATCTTCAGGGCAGATGTTTTTATTTTATTCGGCTTATAATTCCTTACTAAATGTAGTATTTCATCTCGATGTACTCCATCTTTGATATGATTTAAATCAAATTCCTCGTCATTATAAATATTACGAATAATACACATCAAATAGTTTTCTGGTTGCAATTTCCTAATTTCGACTATGCGTAATGTATGCTTTACGCATGCGTGAGTTGAAAGAAATGTTTAATAAAGTAAACAAATATAAAGTTTTTTTTTTTTTTTTTTTTTTTTTGTAAATTTGGATATCCTTCAGATGATAATTGCTCTTTATTTCATAAATTACGATTTCATATTTTTAATTTTATAAATTCTGCATGCCATCTTACCAGATTTAAACCGATGATCTATAATCCGGAATCGCCGAAGTCCCGACGAGTCCGGATTAAAGACTTGACTGTATATAATGAATTTAATATAATATAATTATCAAAGTTTCAAATAATTTAGTTAAATTTTAACTATTTTACTTTTTATATAATTCGACCTCATTGTAACCTGAAACCATACATTTAATAGTACTTTTAGGAAGTCCTAATTTTATTTTTTGGTCATTTTCTAAGTGGGCATTCATTGTGCAGGCTTTTATCATGCA